ACTAGGGGGAGAAGGCCACGCTGCAACCCCTTCTCCTCCATTCTCCTCTCGGGATTCTGGGCACGCACGCACACGCACCCGGTGTAATTCTCAAGCAGCTGGATGCAGGGCGCTAAATCACAGTCCACGACATGGGAGTCCTGTGGGGAGCAGCCAGTTCAAGTCCTGGACCTGGTGGCTTGCTTTCTCACTTTCTCTCTCTCTGTCTGTCTTTGGTGAACACACATGCCCTATAGCAAAAACTTAACACCTTGTGATGCATAAAGAGAACTCTATGAAATTTACAAATAATAGTAATCGGAACCGATAGTCTGACCACAGGATACAAGATCAATATACGGGTGTTAATTATATATCTAACATTCACAATGTGCAACTAGAAAATGAATAAAATTCAAATTAATTTCATTCTCAGTCTTATAAAACACCAGATAAACCTAACAAACGATGTGCAAGAGCTCTCTGAAACCACAAAACAATGGTGTGATAGACTTAAAAGGGCGATGTGGGTGGAGGGTCGCACTGTGTCCCTGAACTTTCGGCTCAATGTTATTGAAACGGCAATTCTCCACAGATTGCTCTATAAGTTTAAATGAAATCCTATCAAACCAAATCGACAAGTTGAGTCTCATATATGTATAAATGCAAAGGAAAAAGAAGATCAAAGAAATGCTTTTTTAAAGGAGTAAGAAGTTGGAGGACTTATCCAACCTGGCTTCACAATTTAGTGTAAGGTGGCAGACATAAAGACAGTGTAGTATGAGCTTAGGACAGACATACAGATCATGGCTAGAACACACAGCCCAGAGTGCACGCATTCACATATACAGATCATGGCTAGAACACACAGCCCAGAGTGCACGCATTCACATATACGGATCATGGCTAGAACACACAGCCCAGAGTGCACGCATTCACATTCAGTCAACTGATCTTGACAAAGACGCCAAGGCAACTTAACTTGGAAAGGTCAGTTATTCCAGCAAATGTGCTGGGGCAGTCGACTATCCCTCGGGACTTCCTGTCGTTATTGTTGTTGCTGGGTTTTTGCCAGAGAATGCATGTGCTGACCAGAGAGAGTGAGAGAGAGTCAGTGAAAGGAAAAGTGAGAAATCAGCCACTAGGGGGAGAAGGCCACGCTGCAACCCCTTCTCCTCCATTCTCCTCTCGGGATTCTGGGCACGCACGCACACGCACCCGGTGTAATTCTCAAGCAGCTGGATGCAGGGCGCTAAATCACAGTCCACGACATGGGAGTCCTGTGGGGAGCAGCCATCTGAACAAACATGGTGACCTTCAGACATATGCAGAGACGCCATTCACGAGCTTCACTCGCATAGCAGTGAACTAAACTGCTGGTACTGCAAAGCAGTGGCTGTCTAAGGAAGCCACAAGTGTTTATCAGAATCAGCCCAAAAAGATCAGAGAAATCCCATGGCGCCAGTCATTCTTGCACCATCTGAGCAACATCTGAGAACAACTGGCTTTCCATTCCATTTCCTGCTCCATTTCCTGCCCTGTGTAACAATAAACCTGAGACTCACGTGAGGTCACAGCCTTCTCCATCAGAGAAGTCAGGCCCTCGCTTTTCTGTACTTGCATGTCTTTTTGTTTGTGTGTGTGTGTGTGTGTGTGTGTGTGTTTACTCCTGACCCACAGAACCCACACTCAGAAATCGTGTTCTGCTGAGCGGGTCCCAGCAGAGTCCGGTGCCTTAACTGCTGCACTACCATCTCGACTTTAAGCTCTATCATGCACAAAAATTGACTCAAATTGGAACTAAGTGTAAAAAAAAAAATAAAACCCTACAAGAATACATGAGAAAATCTGATTTTTACACAGCAAAGATTTCTTAGACTATAAAACATATGACTATAAAGGGGGAAAAACAGAAGTGGATTTTAAAATTAAGAATGTGTGCTCAGCCCAGTCTGTGGCATGTTAATTAAAACAACTAGATCCCAAATAGCTGACTATGTGGGTCAAATCTCTGACCCAGTGACTCGAAAAACACACTGGGCACACATGCGTTATGTGCCCAAAATCCCGAAGGGAGCGATGGAGAAGGGACTGCGGCGTGGACATGCCCTGGAGGGGCAGCCGGTCTCACTTTCTCCTCTCTCCTTCCTCTCATCTCTCTCTACCAAGCACACACGCCCTCTGACAAATTTTTAAAAAATAATACATACTCTTTGACAGACGTCATTTGGGGCCAGTTGGTGACATGGTGGTAAAGGCAGCTGGGTCCCACAGAGCTTGCCACATGGTCTGAGTCCCAGATCTTACTAAAAACATATTAGTATATGTCCATTTATGCCCAGAATCCCGAGAGCAGGAGGGACTACAGCCTGGCCACCCTCTTTGGAGGGGTGCGCATTCTCTCTCTCTCTCTCATGCACATACGCACACAAATGCACACACATACAGCAAGTTGGAAACACAAACAAAAATCCAATGGATTGACTACTATAGTTGTGCTTTCTCTAAGAGAAGAGGAAGCCTAAGTCCACCAGACCTGCAGGAATGTTTGAGCAGCCTTGTTTGCAGCAGCCCCAGACTGGAATTGGCCAAAAGGAAACACACTGTGGTTTACTGTAGTGCACGCAATGTTCCTGCCACAGGGCGCAAAGTGGGCAAACAAATGATGGTGCGTGTTACATGACCATGAAATCATTATGCTGTAAAAAAGAAGCCAGATAGATACCAAAAAAATGTATATTACAACACTTAGGTCATGTGAAGTACAAGAGGCAAAGTCAGTCTGCGATGACAAATTTAGGAAGTGGCTGCTTTGGGGGGGGGTGCAAAGAAACCTTCTGGGACAGAGAAAAGTTTGGGCATGTTGTTATGGGTGGTGGTCTGTTGGAATTTCTCCAGCTGAGCACTGTCCTGCTCGTGGCACTGTGTGTGAACGATGCTGCACTTAAAAAAACAATTCGATCTGAGGGCCCTTCCCAACCAGGCAGTCACAGAACTCATCCTGCCAGCTATTTCTGGACACAGAAGCCTGTTGTGGTCCACTGCCTTCTGGGCAGCAACATGGACGCAGGCCCTTGGAGACAGGGATGTCCTTGCACCACACGCCCAGCCATGGCTGGCTCAGAGAGCATGCCACAGAGCCGACCTCAGGACCAACGACACTTCACACGTGATGATAAAAGCTCTTGTGCCCACGTGAGCAGCTTATCTCATCTGCAATAAATAGGAGGGCCTGGTGACCCCCCTCAGCTGTTGAGATGCCAGCTATTCAGAGGACGAGATGCCCGGGGCGCATGGTGCTGGGCCCACGCCTCCACTCCACGAACGGGGGCACTCGGCCCTGAGTCCTGGACCCGCACCTGTAGTGAGCATGATCCTCACAGAAACTTCTGAGGGGAAGTAACAGTAATGGCCAAGTCTTAGAAACAGCCCCTGCATGGAGGAGGGATCTCTAAAAAGATTGAGGAAAATGTATATTATGAAAAAACTATGCATGGATTTCAAAATTGTTCGTACCAATAAACTCATTCCTTTTTTTTTTTTTTTTCCTTTTTTTGGAGAGGTTTTCGCTATAGGGTGCGTGTGCTCGCCAGACAGATAGAGAGAGACAGAGAGACAGAAAGCGAGAAATCACCCCCCAGGGGAGATGGCCACACCACAATCCCTTCTCCTCCACTCTCCTTTCGGGATCTTGGGCACACACACACACGCGCCCGGCGTGAGACAATAAACTCATTCTTTAATACTGGTTTCCAATGACCTTCTAAAGCTCCCTGCATAAACACGGTGTAAGGATAGCTATTACTAGTACTTTAGGGCATGTGGGCTCACCCTGATGTACAGAGCCCACACTGAGAATACTGGCCATTAGAGGAGCCTCAAGGTGCTTTTTTTTAACTTCCTGTCAGAAATATAGGCACTGGCGTCTGCAGGTGGTGTCGTGGTTAAGGCACTGGACTCCCATGTGGTTGAAAACAATTCAAGCCCTAGACCCCAGCAGCTTAAAAGCCCATGCCAGGTGCGTGTGCAGGTGTGTGTGCCCAAAATCCTGAGAGGAGAATAGAAAGGGGCAATCCCCCCTGGGGTGATCACTCCCTTTCTGTCTAGCTCTTCAGCGAGTGCACGCATCCTATGACAAAAATGCTACATGTGCCACGGTAAAACACAGTCTGTTTGCCAGTTTTAAGATATGGGTGTGAATACTCACTCGAATCTCAGGAGCAAAGGAGTAAAACGTCAATCACTTTAAAGCACCGTCTTTCTAGCTCAGTAAGGGAATTACAGCCTTTCCAGGACCTTTAAAAAGCCACTTAGCCCACTGTACTTTTTGGGTGCCCAGTCTGACACGCCTCCCTGGATGTGAACATCACCTGACAAATGGGTGCAGTGAGGCCGGGAGAGGGGCAGCAGCTCCCAGGGCAGGTGCACCCCAGGGCCCTGGGAGGGCCGGGAGTGGGGCAGCAGCTCCCAGGGCAGGTGCACCCCAGGGTCCTGGGAGGGC